GGAGCGACCCAACTTGGGATTTGCCCGCGATGTTCGGGCTGCATAACATTTTGGTCAAAAATTGACTCTAAATCGATCACGTACTCGATTTTTGTGGGGGGAAAACATCGATCTTTCACTCTATTTTTTGCTCTAATCGATTTTTCGTAATCGATCTCGCGAAACACTACAGTCTGTGATGCCGCTACAAAACTCCGCGGACTGCGGATGCACGCGACATTGATTGATTTGGACAGTCTGTGATCTGATTGGTGTCTCGACTTCGTGTGAACGCCCCCTTTTTCCCGCGAGGCACGCGTTTTTCTCTGTCTTAGATCTCGATCTCCAATCAGATCGCAAAACGGCCAATCAACGTCATTTGCATCCTTAGTCCGCGGATTTTAGTGGGCTGGGCATCACGAACGAGAAGCTTCGGATACTACGGATATGACGTCTTTAGGACCGGTAATACGTCAAACACACGCGCTTCTTGAAGCTAACGCGAGTAAATAGACAACGATTTACCAATGAAAATCGAGTAAAAGATCGATTTAGAGAACGATTTCCCCCCCAAAAATCGAGTACGTGATCGATTTTGAAATCGATTTTTGACAAGCGGAGAGCCCTTACTCTTGGCGGAAAGGGCGTTCCATACGCAACGAGCGCTATATGCATTTGGCGCCGAGTCGGAGGTATAGGCACCAGTTGATCAGAAACTGAGGTAGGCAACAGTCTCATACTTACGGGGTGGGGGCTTTGTAATGATGAATGAAGCCCTCGTTGGGATGGGTATGAGAGCCGTGCCGCGTCGCGTCCTGCCGCTAAGGATCCTCGCGGCGCGCCAACCCGGCACGGTGCGACGGGGCAATGTATTGTGAACCTAGCTTTACCCCGTAAGCACTAGAGTTGAAGCTCTGATAGTTCTGAAGGGGCAGGGTAACTCGAAGTTGGGAAGCACACAAACCACAATACAGTCGTGGGTCCCACATAATATCATACCGATACACAGTATACACACCCGCAGTGTACACGGTATACACACCCACATTGTAGAATATCCCGCATATTATCATATTTTTTGGATGCACGGTGGGTACGATATTAACTGGGACCCACTGTACTAATGTACATGAGATAAAAATACTTCAGAAGTGATGGTATATACATTAGCAAACAATCATTTGCCGCCTTTTGTGAGTATATACAATAGCTAACACCGTTGGCAGAAATTGGCTGGCCCCTCTGCTAAGGTGGTATATACAGATTCTCTTCATTTCAGTAGAAACGATTGCTCAGGGACGTAGTCAGCATGCACCATAATCACTTTTAGCCTTATAGCTACACATGCTGCACATGTTTCAGTGTTCTCCCTCTACATGCACCCCCTGTTACTCCCGCCTTTATGTGTTTGTAACTCACATAATTCTACATCAACAATAGAGACATACAGAAAGCAACAAAGGTGGTTATGATGACTTTCTTTCGCGTTTAATGTTCCTCTTGGGAAGAGACTTTCCATTCTGGTTACAATTCAAATGTGAATTACGCGGAAAGCTATAACACTATATAAAAAGAACTCAAAGAACTCGACCCGGACACACTGTCAATTTCCGGTACAATCCAGGAAATTCCGGGACGGTTGGCAGCTGTTCCCATTGTCAGCAACTGAGGTGGCACCAGTTGACTGGAGTCGGAAGTAGGCACCAGTTGATCAGAAACTGAGGTAGGCAACAGTTGTCTCATACTTACTAGGGGGAGGGGGGTATTGGTAATGATCAATGAAGCCCGCGTTGTGATTGGTTCAGAAGTCGCATTGCCCCGTCGCGTCCTGCCGCGATGGATCCTCACGGCACGGTGCGACGGGGGCAATGTATGTGAACCTAGCTTTACCCCGTAAGAAGCTCTGACAGTTCTGAAAGGGCAGGGTTACTCTCGTTCGGAAGCACACAAACCTATTCACAATACTAATGTACATGAGATACTTCAGAAGTGATGGTACATTAGCAAACGATCATTTGCCGCCTTTTATGAGTACAATAGCTAACATGGTCGGCACAAATTAGCTTGCCTCTCTGCTATATAAGATGATACAGATTCTCTTACTAAGGGATCGTTTCAGTAGTGCAGCTAGAAACGATTGCTCAGGGACGTAGTCAGCATGCACCATAATTACTTTTAGCCTTATAGCTACACATGCTGCACATGATTCAGTGTTCTCCCTCTACATGCACCCTCTGTTACTCCCACCTTTATGTGTTTGTAACTCACATAATTCTACATCAACAATAGAAAGCAACAACGGTGGTTATGAATGACTTTCTTTCGCTGTTTAACTTGTTCCTCTTGGGAAGAGAAAACTTTCCATTCGGTTGCAATTCAAATGTGAATTACGTGGAAAGCTATAACACTATAAAGAACTCATTGAAAGCAGAGGGGAAAAAAGCAATGTGACAGATTCTTGCTGAAAATCTGTTTGGACAAGGGGCTTGTATAATCCAGTCCTAGCTCCAGTGCTTGTCATTGTCCCAGTTCTTAGACTGCTGGGATCGTAAGGTCTTTAATTTTAGTGTGCAGTTTTATAGCGGGCCTCGCGCACGCATGCCAAGGGTACTTTTATACCAAGCAGTGTAAGTAAAGACAGGCCGCAATCAACCATTCTACTATAGGTGGAGAGTGCAAATACTCTTCAGACAGGGGTGACTGTGGAGGTTAGATTGGCATAACCTTTTACCAAGTAAAGACAGGGCAATGAACTGATCATCTTGAATAACTCCACCATAGCTGTGAATTTTGAAAGTGAAGTAGTCCCTCGAGTTGAATTTCCTCCACTTTTTGAAAACGCAGGGAGTTAGGTTTTTTAGCATATCCTGTCTGGAATGAGTTTGTGTTTTGCTTTAAAAAATTCAAGTTCAAAAAAGTTTCATTTACATTGTGCAGTTTTTGCTGATTTGAGCACCAATGTCCACTATCACTGTCAAAGTTGACCTTAAAATATGTGCACTTGTGACATTGGTTCTGGTGTGCTGGCTATACAATGAAATTGAGAAGAGGCATTCACTGGAAAGGGTCATATCTGAGAAAAATCGCAAGCTGGAAAATGACATTTACATCATTAAACTAACTCTGGGTAAAATTTCCGATGTGCTGGAAACAGATGTTTCGGAGCTTAAGGAGGGACTATCACATGTTAATGAGGAGCTACAAGACCTAAAAGCTGATGTTAAAATAATTATGGAAGAGACTATGGGTACATCTGACAAGGTTGAAAAGATACACTCAAGTCTCACTAACAGTGGACTGTTTAGCACTGTAAAGAAACACTTCAAATACTCTGTTCCATGGCTGCAGCCCTAGGATATTTTTTCCCTATGTTACATGTACTTGACTCTGTGTGCAGTATAAGTTATTATGTTTTGAAAAGCACTAAAGTGCAAACCCTCGGCTCAAAAAACGCGTGCGTTGTAGCGTTGATGTATGTTACATGGACTGGGCCATGAGTCGTTGACGGAGCCAGTTTCTTATGAGGTTTAATCAGTGGCAAAATTACACCTCTCATGAATCGGGGAGGTACTTTGCAATAGGATGCACACTCTAGCATAATAGGAGTCATGTCTTTTGCATAGGAGTCGTAGATTTTGTAGCATACTTCAAGATTGGATGCATGCTCTCCGTTTGGAGGCATGTCCTGTAATCATATGTATCTAGGCTGTAATAGGAGGCATACTCCCTATCTGGGAGGTATGTCCTGTTCTCGATGAGCAATTTGAAGGTTGATGATAAAACCATCCAGCATCTTGAGCAATTCTGCCATCTTCAAAGCTCCTAAAATCTGTAGCTACTTGTCTCAGCATTCGTATTGCCCAGTAACTCATTGCCATAACTCTATTATGAGACCTTTGACATGTCACATGACAAAATTGTGGCCAGCGATAAAATGGCGACTACCGGTACAATGCTCTAGCTTTGCAACGGAGCATTTTCAGAGAAAACCCCACAAATATTCTGACCTTCATTGCCCGTTGAGTAGGTCGTATCGTTTGTGAGACGAACAAACACTCGAGAAGTGAGATGTAGAGTAACAGACACACAGACAGACACACAAACCCAACTACAGTAACCCTCGCTGCGCATGCGCGCCGGGGGTTAATGAGACAGACCTCCCAGATGTGATGCCTCCCAGATATGGAGTATGCCTCCTATTACAGCCTAGATATAATACATAGAGTACCTATGATTACAGGACATGCCTCCAAATGAAGAGCATGCATCCAATCTTGAACTACAAGGGCGTAGCCAGGACTGAATCTTAGCGGAGGCAAATTGTAGTATTCATTATCATGATTAAAACACATCAGAAAGAATTCAAACGCTCATCTCCAGCTATACACTTGCCTAAAAAGCTCATGTGCCTATATACAGTTTTCCACATTAGAATCTCCTCAGATGCAATTTCACCATTTTTGTGTCATCATTTTCTTCATTTAGTAGAATTGTTATTCTGAATCAACAATGGAGACACACAAAGTAAATGGATGACTTCTTTCACTGTTTACTTGTTGTTCCTCTTCCATCATAGCAGGAAGACACCATTCTGGTTACAATACAAAATGTGAATTACGTGGATTGCTGGTTCCTCCATAATGCCGCCACCCACAATGTTTCACGGAGGAAACCTTTGCGGTGTCTCATAAACCGCTTGTGAAACACTTCTGCTTCGAAAGTTTTACACTGGCTATAAAACTGTTAAACAGAAGTCAGGAGCGTGTAGGCATTGCAATAATATGGTATATATCTATAAGTTAACACACATGAAGAACTCATGGAAAGGAGAAAAAAGCAAGTACAGATGTAGTGCTTACTTAGTAGTCCATCTCTCCATAGTTCAGCAATAAAAAAATATTCATGAACTGTGCTTGCCGGGAATTGGATAGTTACAAACAGGAGTTCGCTCGGCTGAGAATGAGATCATAAACCTGGCAACTTACGCGTTGTTTTGCGCATTCCGACGACGAAACACGATCTCGACTACGCCGCTAACATAAAAGCGAGCTGAGCTCAGTGAGAACCTGGTGACACACCGAAGCAGAAATGGCCATCTTCATGGGCGCAGCCTTCTCCCCCCTGGGAGCCGTGCTGTGCATGCTAACTTCACTGGCCCTCTACCTCTTCTACCGGTAAGCTAACGTCGGCAACAAGGAGGCTGGGTAGCAATGTAGACTAGCATACTACTAGAGCACGCCAGTTACATCAAAATTCGTGCAGGATACTCTACGCTCCTTATCACGTCCACAAGCAGTACGGCATCAAAGGTCCTAAACCGGAGCCTTTCTGGGGGAGCTACTCGGACATCAAGAAAATGGTTATTGCTCATCTCGCGCGTGCGCAATCAACGTTCTTTTTCTGCTGCATGCAGAAGATGAACAGCTTTATTGCCGAAGGACAAAAGAAATACGGATCTTTCTTTGGGTTGGTGCTTCTAATGCAGCTCTGTACTAGTAAACCTTACTGTCTCCCACAGGTTCTATGTGGGGAGCAGGTTCAATGTGGTTGTCTGTGACAGGCTCCTGATAGAAGAGATTCTGATACACAACAATGACAATCTTGGCAGTGGAGGACCGTACACAGTAAGATAATGCCTCATTTACCTGTTCACCATGGCATGGCAAGGAAGTGTTGTGCATTAAGTGGTAGTCGAACTGTGTATTTCATCTACTATAGCCAGTAATGTCTGGCTCGTTAGGCTTGTGTTGATGTTGGTGAACAGCCTGTAACTTCCTTGCAAGGGTTATTAGCAAAAGAATTTAGCACTAGCTACCCAGGAATGAGCACATTATTCAAACAAACACCTATGTAATAACAGGCATGGAATCGACTAATACTGGACTCCCTGGGGGCCACAAACAGCCTCAGACTTGCATCTGGGACTCAGTGGAGGAGCTGCAGAGAGGCTCTCTCTCCTGTTTCCATGCCTCTTAACACCAGACAGGTATCAACACTGCATACTCACTATAGCTACATCAAATCCATTGATTGAAGTGCGTGTGTTTTACATGGCTCAATATTATTTATGCAGATGGCTCCTGTGGTGAGTGAAGGCTGCACCAGACTAGTGCAGAAGATAGCCAAGGTTGCAGAGTCCCAAACTACAGTCGATGTGCACAAGTATGGCGTAAAATACCGACAATAAGTTAGTAGTGCACATTGATACTCATGTGCTAACTATAGATTGTATGTGGATTTCACAATGGAGACCATCGTAGCCAGTGCATTTGGAGAGAGTGCGGAGGGCCAGAGTGTGGGTGAAGGTAGCGAGCTCCTTGTGGCCACTAATGACTTCATTGCCAAATTCAACGACTGCATGAGCAGCAGTGCAGAAGAACTGACAGTCTTTCTCTGTGAGTTTGAATAGCTACAGCTACTGCGACCAGTGAAAAGCTCTTTACAGTTGTAGCTAGATAGATGTCCGTATGCCTTCATAATGAAGATAGCTGCATACATGCAACATCTTTGTTGGCCGATGGAAGTCTCGATAGATGTATGTCGTATCATAATGACCATAGGTTCAGTGCTGTGTGATTAACTGTTGTTGTTAGTGTGTTACTTAAAGTTTGGTCTGTGGGAGCCACATCGGCATCTCGGCATAGAGGTGCAGTTTAACACAGGTGTTCTGTCACCCCAGCTCACTTCCCACTGGCAAGACCACTGCTGGTTCGACTGGCAGGTCGACTGGCTGTTACTAGAGCTCACCGGCATCTCAAAGAGGCTGGCTGCAGACTGGTGGAGGCAAGAAAGGCGCTTGCCTCCCCCCCTCAGGTCAGTTTGGTAGACTACTACACATTGTGTAGCTTCTGTTGTGACACACCATGTAGCATCTATATACTGTTGTGATACAAGCACGCCCCCACCACATGTGTACACAAGTTGTTATGCTAACCTGTATCCTATAAAATATCCCCTCTTAAGTTACGTAATGTGTCCCACAGGACATACTCCAGCTACTATTGGAGACTAGTCTCAGTAGCTATAATGGAGAATACAATACCGCTGCTGGTGATGATGATGAGGAGGAAAAGCTCTCGGACCAGCAGGTGGTGTGTCAGGCAATAGAGTTCCTGATATCCGGTCAGGAGACGACGGCTGCCGGTCTGGCATCTGTCTCCTACCAACTGGCCGTTAACACTCGGGTCCAGGACAGAGTCCAGGAAGAGATTGATGCTCTCTTCAACAAGAGAACAGTCAGTATTATATCTCTAGCTATATAAATACAGTGGAACCTCTAATAAGGGACCCTCCGAGATATATAGGGACAACCTCTCTACAAAGGACACTTGTTTCAACCCCATGCTAATACTTTAGTACATTATTTGACCTCTGAGATAGGGATATATAACCTCTCTACAAGGGACAAAATCATTGGCCCTATAGTGTCCCCCTGTTCAGAGGTTCCACTGTACATGCCCCAACTGCTAACTCTTTTTCCTCCTTGTGTGAATGATAGGCATGTAAAAGGATACTGCTGGTGTGTAGCTTTGTTGACAATACATTTCTATGGGGTTCCCCTGTCATACTAGCTGCATTTGGTGACAAATCGGTGTGTGGTTGACTTCCTTTCGTTTCCAAACAGAAGAAGTCACTGTACGATGCAAGTCTTCGCCTTCCTTACCTTGACTCAGTCATCCAGGAAACACTCAGACTCCGCCCACCAACACCAATGTAATCTACTACATGGCACTGTGTAATTACCTCTAGCAATGCGGCCCATTAGTATTAAGATGCAGGTTGTACAATTAGGTTCTAAGAGCCCATGCATATTGGTGCATGATAATGGTGGTCTAACAGTGTTGGAGTATAGAGACACGTCCTTTCATAATGAATGAGCGATTACAGTGCACTTTCGTGGATAGTGATTACATTCTGAGTATGTAATCACAGTTTGCAATGAGACTTTTGTTGTCACCTATGGATGATTGCATGCAAAACTGCTCACGCTTTCACATGGACTCTCTCTCTCTCACTTTCTCTCTCTCTCTCTCTCGGAGAGTCTTTCAGACGAGAGGGGGGGGGCTTCACAACCTACAGTACATGTACAATTGAGTTAAGTGTGTCCACTGATTACAGGATTATTCGTCACTGTGAAGCAGATATTGAGCTGGAGAGACACACTCTGCCAAAGGGAGCAGATGTGTACATACCGACATTCCTAGTGCACAAGAGCCCAGACCTCTGGCCACAGCCATACAGATTTGACCCTGGCAGGTATGCCAATAATGACATCATCAACATTTCCAGTGTAGCCATGTTTCATACAGCACTGCCCAGTGTAATCGTGTATCATACACCATTGTAAATGGAATAAAACCACATTTCGTAATTGTATTACTTTATAGGAAACACAATGGAAAGCTAATGATGTTGCATTTGACTGCCTTGCGTCAAGGTTGTATCTTCAGCCATCATTAAACTCCCACTTATAGGCCAAAGTTCTGGTGCTCTATGCCACAAGTCCAGTTTTGCTCATTCATTAGTAACGGGGCTCCCCACAATTCATGCAGGTTCAGCAATGAGGAGCGGATGAAGCGAGAAGCCATGACCCACATTGCCATTCGGTGCAGGACCTCACGTGTGTCTCGGGGCAAAGTTTGCCCTGGCCCAGATGAAAATGGCTCTTGTTTCAATTCTGCATCACTATACCTTTGTCCTATCACCCAAGACGGAGGTAAAATCCCCTGCTGCTCTCAATTTGGAACCTAGCATCACTTCAATGTGCATGGCTAGAGCAGAGTTTCTTAGCAGTGCATGCATGGACCAGCGTATATAATGTTAATTTGGTATGTACACTAGCTATTGTAAGGCCACCCAGTAGGTATGTAATTATAGTGTGTGTGTTAGATGGATGGTATTCCCCCCTCAGGTACCACTACGTATAGCGCACAGTGCAGCGGCAGATGTCCCCCTGAATGGAGTGGCTCCTCCTTATCTTACCAAAGAAACACTACAGCTACTCCCACTCTATAGCAACATATGTATAATTATTATAGCTCAGTCATTTTATACCATTCCACACTAAAATCACTAGGGAATAGATGTTTGGATTTACATGTGATCAACATCACAATAATATAAAATTTTTAAATACACAAACAAAAAGATCCATTCAAAGTTCAAAAAGTAATAACATACCAGTTTCTGTGCCTTTGGCTACTTGCCCATCTTTTACCCTAAACGAGCAAAACAGTGACTATTAAAGGGAGTGACCCGACAGTATTATGTACATACCTTGTATTTGACCACATCTACAGGTAGGTAGGAGGATATATATGTACAACAAATCAAAAATTCACTTATATGCCATGTATACATTGGGGCTAGCTATTGTTCATACACTGTGCCATAGCACAGTGGTTTGAGGTTTGCCTTGTCTTGTATTGTTTGTAGATTCGAACCCTACCAGCTGAGTTGCCCTGGTAGCTCAATTTGGTAGAGCGCTCGCCTAGACCCCATGTAACTACCACCTATGCCAGCTTTCATTTTTTTCTGAGTTGCCCTGGGTGTAGTTGATTTGTTTTTTGCTTTTTACCTCATTGCTGA